TAAAATGTCATTAATTAATTCAGTAACATTATCAGCGGTAAAGTCAAAATTCGTTTAAAAAAAAATCATCTATCAATTGACGCAATGTAATATTATCGGACATAATAACAAATTGGAATGTTTTGTGCTCATTGACAGCATATCTTAATTTTTGAAGATTCTCGGCAATCAAAAAATCCTTTTCATTTAATATATCTATCACAAGGGAATCATAATCTAGCATTTTTCCATCACATTTTTTTAAAAATTTGCAATGCTTTCGCAAACTTTTTAATTTAATAAACAGTTATTTTATTTGTATTTTAATTTGTTCGATTTTGATAGATAATCAATCTTTGTTACATTTTAGACAATCTCACTTTCACTCATTATGAAATCACTTTTTGCATTTCCGGTCACAACAGATGCACATAATATAGTTTCGATTTTTTAAATCTATAAAACAAAGCAGATCATAAAAAATATTAGAAACAAAAAAATTCAATTTGAATATTGTTGCGAGTGATACGATCAATCTATTGACAATGTTTTTTATAATAATCACATTGAGATATGATGAAAACATATAATGGAAAAACAAGAAATGATTTATTTCAGAAAAGTAAAAGAAAGAGTGATTGTCTTATCTGTTTTTTGAAAACAAAGAACTTGAAAAAGGAAGAATGATGTTACGAATCTCTACTACATTAAAAATCATGAAACAGAAATGATAGACTGACAACGGTTCAAAACCTATAACACTATCAAAAAGGATTCAATCATGTGATATAATATGTTGATATCATATAATATGTTGTATATCATCAAATATGTTGCAATCAAATAATATAATAAGAATTAAATGATATGTCAAATGATATATTTATAAAAAATTATATAAAAATATTCATTTATTCATTTGTTAAATAATTCTTGTTTAATTTTTCGCGTTTAATACAATCATTATTTTTGATAATTATTTTTCGATAACTGCTAATATGATTCGTTCATATTTTATCACAGAAAAATATACGTATCAATCTGATTTTATTTCTTTTTTAATTATTGAGATTTTTTGATCATTATCTTAATTCATCGGAATCTCTGAAAGATTCACTCAAAACATTGTTGATTATTTCGGAGTTTGGAACTCTTAAACAAGTATCATCCATTTTCAGGAATAGTCGGACTATTTGCTGGAAGGCTTGAACTATAACCAATCTAGCAGTCAGCACAGCTTTAGCGGATCCTAGGGTTTGACAATTAGTAAAATAAAAGAATAAATTGTTATATAGATAAAATATAAGTAATATGATAATGATAATGTTGATTAATATAATTTTTTTTAAATGTTTTAAAAAAAATATATAAATAATGTTCAAGTTCTGCAAAATATGATACAACATTTCATATTTAAAATATATTTTTACATCTTTATATATTGATTTTATCAACTTTTTATAAAACATAATACAACATTTATTTTAGATCTAAAAAAAGGCATGCTTAGTATTATCATGTTAGTAGACTTATTTAAGAGACTTATTTCAAAAAATTACATAAAAAATGGATAAAAATCAATAGGATTGTAATTAGATATATAGAACAGATATAAGAAACAATAATATATAATGATATGTTAGCGAAATTATTCATTTTAATTAAAAAAGATATAAAAGAATTATGTAATTTAAGATAGTTAGAATTATAATTAAAATGATTTTGACGAAATTTTATGACTTTGAGGGTCAGTCCGGGTTATAAAGCTCGGACCCGGAACTGTCCAGGTCCGGGTCGCGAGTCGGTAGGAGGGACCCAATATCAGGGTCGTGGCGAGGTCTACAAATTCCTCATCGGCATTGAAATATGATTTGTCATGTCATTGTTGATCATCGTTTTTACTATAAATTTTTAAAACGTTTATCACGCGATGCAGGATTTGCATCACACTATCAGGGGTACAGATATTTCTGAGATTTTTGTTATGAATGTTTTGATAAAGCTGATCGTACATGTTATAACGCAACTATATCATGCATCAAAAGAATCTCTGGAGTTTGTCGAATTATGTTTAGCACGACTATTCATATCAAGAACATTTTTAAAGGTTTATACAGCAACTAAACAAATCTGCAATTATGAAAATAGACGATTATCTGATGCAAGTCACGAGGTGATTTGTGGCTTAGTGCTCCTGTGACAAATCCAGATAGCATTCTTTTTGCAGGATCTACATCTTTTCCTTGACGAGATTCGCATAATCTATTTAGCAGACTTTCAGAGTGATCGATTGAGCCTATGCAACATATTGTTTATTTTCATTGAAGCCTTTTCAACTTTAATAGAAGAATGATTAAGCAACCGACTAGACCCGATACATTTCGAACTTTATTCACTTCTCGAACTACTTTTTATGTTGTTGAGCCATTTTTAAAAAGGGAATCCAGACTCATTCTATTATGTCATTTGCTTTGCCGTGAATGATTTCGAAAGAATATTGGGCATAATCAGAGAAGAAATGAGCATGGCCATATTCTATGACGAACTCAGTTGGAATGGAGCAACATATGCCTCTATAACATTTGACGCATATTTGGATGACTTACGGAAGCAACTATCACGTTTGCAGAGCCACGTCGACTAAGTGCTTTAGTCAATTATATGGAAACGACTCATAAGGTTCCCTGGAAGCAAAGAATGTTTCATGTTCTTGTAGCGTATCTTCGAGATGTTCCTTTAAAGTATAGCACAGTTCTTCATATACTTGACTTTTGCCCAGCGCAGTGTTTTCACACGCCAGAAAAGGCCCGTCAATTTGGCTAGAGTGGCAAGTGTCTCAGATATGGCTGCGGACGCATATGAGCGAAGTATAGCGCCGCAGTCGCGCCGCAGTCACACCTTGTGCAGTGGTAACGGGCTTCACTAGCTGTTTTACCCAGAGTTCCAGACACAAGCGAACAAGCAGCGGCCAACATACATAAAGACTTTGCTTCTCTTCTTTCTCTCGTCTCTTCAGAGTCTGCACGAATTCTTTTGTCAAGGAACTGAATCCAGTACCTGCACAGTCGGCCTAGTTAACTGTGTTATTGTTGGATGCCGGTATTCTCGCAACACTTGGTTCCACATACTAATTGAGACACTTGCAAGCACCATCATCCTCTAGTAAGAACCGACTATCTGTACAATATTACTTGCCAGAATGTTGGAATTGGACGAGGAGTATCATACGTAAGGCCACTACGTCTTATAGAGAAATGCTGTGACGGTTGACACCTATCCAGCATCATGCAATCGGAGATTATAGAGTTCACCATTGGCAAGGACCGAAAGAGATTCCAAATCCACATGGCAGTAGCTTGATTGTTTCCAGAGGAGATACTCCAGTCTCCTATCCACCTTGAAATGGATGAAGTCGTCTTTGGCCGTTGCTGTGAGTTCGTATATTCGGGCGACTACTCCGTCCCGTTGCCGAACTCCAGCCACTCGGGAAGCCCTGTCGATCAACCTGGCAACAGCAATATGGTATCTCAGGGAATCGAGCCTCGATGGAATCCTACAAATCTGACGGAGAATATTTTCCATCCAACGAGGGTGACTCAAGCTCACGCCCCCTACGTTGAGCGATTTGACCCAGTGCCCTGGTATGAAGCCGACGTTCCTTGGAACGCTGATCCTGCAGTCGATTATTCAGCGGTTTTGCTAAGCCACGCGGAAATTTTACGCCTCAGTTGTAGAACCAAGTGGGTTTCGCTACGTGATCGGTCGCTCTATTGGCTTATACGTTCCCTCGCCCGCTTTCAGCTCTTTAAGGAGCGGACTCAAGATATTGTGGCATTGTTGAGGTTTGTATTCGAAGAAAGCGAATGCATAGAGGCCGTACAAATGGTCCTACAGCATTATGTAGTATGGAATGTAGAAATCCTTATGTGTGATGCTGACTTTCGACAACTCCTCGACAGAGTGCCAACCTTGGAGAAAGCCATTTTTCGTTCTATGTGGAAGTAATGGCTTGATTTAAATGATAGATTTTAAGTGTGCATCTATCCTGCCTGTACTGGATGTAATCCAGTGTTATTTTAGGTTATATTTAATTTATTTCGTACCGCTACTCTAGCAGCTTTTGTAGGCTGACGGCACGACCACATCACTTTAACGTACATTTAGGAGAATATACGGGCATGGGCTTCTCACAGCCATGGCGTCAAGGCCTGTGGACTAGCGCCGCAGTAGCTCTCCCTGCAGGAGGATTGATTGTCAAGGTTCCGTGGCTCAATGCCGATTTGGAAACTCACGAGCAGGTGCGGGGAGCTTCACCGGACCGCAGCGGAAGAAATCGAGTAACCCCTCATGGTCACTGCGGGATGTACGGCAGTGATGACCCACCTTGTTAGGTCGGAAGGCCAATCAACATTTACTTCTGGTACTTGGCAGGGACGACTGCGGTTCAGCTGGAAGTCGCTTTGTAATCATTGGACTCGTTAGCACCGCTGTGATAAATGAGATATGAGTCATGAACAAGGTAGACGTTCTTGCTGAGGCGTTTTTTGTTTAGTATCAAAGACAGATGCAGCAGCCACTTCTCCTGCTGCAGGCTCCTATACTCAGTGTTCTATGATCGTATTGGCTATAGATCAAGCCTTCCAGAAGGCCTGCGTTTCGAAGAGGTGTTTCTCATGATTTTATGCTTCTTATTTGTATTTAGATTTCAGAACAATTCTCACGTGGCTATTTTCCTCACAAGAAGACTTTTATGAGAGCCATTCCATTCTGGAAGACTCTTTCTGGTCTGACACTTCCATGTCTCAAAATAACTTATGATCTTTCGCATATTAACTTATTCCCATAAGTTGCTGCTCAAGTATCGCTACATAAAATAATTCGTACGTGTCGTAGGGCAACACAAAAGGCTTTTCTTATACTGCTAGCCGCTCGGAGACGTCATTCTCGAACCAATCCTGCTCATATGTATATAAGAGTCTTAGATAGAGCCACATATGTGTAAACCAGTCCTGAGAATGCTCTCACATTTTCCCGAGCGACATAGAACGGTGACGTTTGGTGGGAGACTTCGGTTCGAGTTCGGCCCGATCTAGCACTCGAGAGACCAACGATAGAAGCTGCTTGTCCTTGGTGAGCCGGCCTTCGGCTGCGAGCCTCTGCTCTTCATGCTCAGAGATCAGGAATATGGCATTATTGCCGTCGACAGTGGCTGCGCGATAACATTGGGCGGGGCTGAGGCTTTGTAGATTCCGATCATACAGCGAATAGTTCTTCCATGAATACTTTCTTGCAATTCGTTCCACCGGCGATGGATCGGAAGGATCCACTCGGAGGCGGTCGGACCGCTTCCATTCCTCTCGTTCAAACCGCCAGAAGCAAATCTCAACAAAAGCTGGTGGTTTTGGTGCCTCCACCGGGGCTGGAGGCCCAGCATCATCTGCGGGAGGACCCTGACCAAGGGGGTGGCTGGCATCATCCTGGGTAGTAGGTGCTACATGTTCGAGATTCTCCACTGGGGGCTCCGGCTGTTCTTCATGGTGAGAAGCTGGCGATGGGTCTTGAGACGATTCTGGAACAACAGCCTGTGCTACATCTGGGTTCCTATTATGCGTCACATCCGCCGGTTGGTCGTCAGGGGGCGTCGGCGGTGAATTCTGCCTTTCTGGAGGTCTAGGTGACGGTTCCAGAACTGGCTGCTCCTGGTGAGAAAGACCAAGCTCTTCCTCGAGTCGCTCACGTTCTAACTCCTCCTCCAACCTTTCCTGTTCTTCCTGGGCCCTCATCAGTTGGTCAAGGTATTCATCCAAGACCGGTTGTTGCCCACCAGAGCCGCCAACACTTGAAGAATTGCCGTCCTCAATTTCCGTGGACTGTGGCTGTGATGGATGATCAATACGCGCCTGATCCTCAAGACCATCGTCCTGAGGTGGACCCTCTACTGTTGATTTGTCTTCTGAGTCCTGCTCAAGCGGGGTTGCCTCAAGTGAAATTCTCGTGCAATGGCTATGGGTATCTGCTTCTTCCAGGACGGCAGGGCCATGTGTGGAGTGCAGCGTGAGGGCGGTTGCTGGATTGGACTGCGTTGATTCGTCTTGTGGGCCTTCGTCAGGGAGTTCCTGGGATGAACAGTCGGACATATCCTGATCCGAGGGCTCCATGCTCAGATACTCCAACTCCATGGGGTCGTACTCCTCGGAATCGTCGTTCCCTTCTCCCGTTGGACGCAACTGACGCCTGCGTATCTGAGCCTTCCGCGTCCGTCGTCGGTTCACAATGTCCCGTTTTCTTTCAGCTCTCGGTACCTGCTGGCGGCGCAGAGAACGTTGCTCCTCATCCCGTCGGGCCGCTTGCCCCTGTGGCTGTTCTTGTTCTTGTTGAGGTGACTCCCTTGGTAAAGCCACTTGCAGAGCGGATCCATGGTCGCCAGATAGACCATCTTCTCCGACGAATAACGGCGACCGGGGAATATACCCGGGAGACTCTCCGGCCCGGTCGCTGCCAGTGTGTCCAGGTCGTGCAGATCTTCCGAAGAAGGAGAAATAGACACAGCGGCGGACATAAAAGCTAGTGATCGTGTCAGTGGCCCCAACGTCGTCGGCATGCAAACGGTCCAGGAAGAGCAAAGGGCTATCTTGCTTGTGGGTTCGCGTTCGTGGCATCCCGCAGCGAGCCCGGGGCTTCATGGTGCTCTCTGCAAGAAGGTCATGTCCTATATCAGGTTCGTAGGGCGCCGCCATTGCGAAGCACTCGGCAATTCGGTTCACCAGGATATCGAACTGTCGGGTGTCGTATCGGAACCGATTAGGTTTCCTGGCCTGCAGCAGAGCTGCCCGTGCAATCTGATGGTCGGGGGAGCCATCTACCAAAACATCGATTTCTGGAGACTTGAATCCGAGCCGGCGAGCAAGTCCGGCCATCTCGTAGATCGCTCTTTCATCGGCTTTGGCACGCGCTGGCTTAGCTAGCAGGTCATCATCATTCTTTGCGTCCGGAGGCATCAACGGATAATGTCGCATTGCATATAGCCACACCTGTAGGTATCCCATGTCGAGCCGCTCCATGTCGGTTGCACGCTGACGCCGGAAAGTAGACTCGGAAGTCTGGATCTCACACTCTCCTATATCTCCATCTAAAGAGGTAACAAACATCGACGCCATGGTTCTCCAAATAGATTCATCAGACGGTCCAAAAAGGCGCTTTACACAATGCGCACAACTTTCCAAATACTTGAAATCCTCAAAAAAAGTGTACAGGGATGGAATCAGCCCGTCAGAGTCTTTCATTCGTCTCCATATTATCCTTCGCTCTTCCTCGCTAAATTCCGCGAATGCCTGGCCACTAAGGATCAACCCACAGGCCTTTTTCGCATCGGTCCGGGATTTCTTCGGTGTCAGTAATTGCAAGGCGTCAACAGTATCCGTGTCGATTTTCTTCATCGAAGTAGGATCGGAGTCAACTAAGGAGGACCAAAAATTTCTGATATGATCGAGATAGTTTACAATCTCCTACAGAGTAAATGAGAAATTGATGAGCAAGATGGAAAATGGGATCAAGAATCCACTTCAATACAGCCTGTGGCGATCAATCGGTGGAGCATGCTAATCCTCATCCCATGTGGCCAAAGCCCGGGTATTGGCAGTAACAGATTGAAGGCTCGCCGAAGACGACGGGTTCTCCTCTTGTCTAATTGAGCCAAGCGGTCTTGGTTGCTGGATGACAGTCGGACAAGCCACCGCTCTCGGAAAGCTTCATTATCCTCGCCCTCGTACTGCCGGATCTTACGATATATTTCACCATCGGTCGGTTTTTTCTGATTTGCATATTCCTCTACCAGAGAGGTCTTTAGTTCTTCACCAATATCTAAAGTGTTGTCAGTCTTTACATGACGAAGTAATCATTCACACAAGACTCACCATGCTCGTAAAGGTCGACGGTCCACCAGCGATCAATAGGAGGAAGCACTGTAGCTCCTGCCTGCACACGATGACGGCCATGGAGGGCACGTAGTTGCCCCACCACAAATTCCAGTCGGGGACATTGTCGGGGGTCATTAGTCAGCAGTCTTGGCTGCGGAATATTTGCCTTCCGCAACGCGTCAGCGAGATCTTGCCGAGACACGATCGCAGGGACGTGATTGTCTACATCCAGGCGGCGACATTGGTTTTTGCGGAAGATTTCACAGAGCCGATCCAGGTTTTGGGAATCAAGATCCCGGGGCAACGGAGGATCGAAATGGATTTGATAGATACTGACTTTGGCTGTACCTAGGTATTTCAAGCGCCGCTCCGTCGCCAGCCGGACCTCTTCCTCTGTAAAGAGAGCCCGCTGCATTGCAAGGGCCGGAAATGGAAACAGGTATCAAGAGCGATGGCAAGGAAGTCAGTATTATGACTGAATGTATATATCTCCCATGCATCGTCCACTGCGGTGCTACCGCAGTCGCTTCAAACATGAAACGCAAGTTCCCCGCAGCGGCCTGAAACAGCAGCCAACCCTAACTTAAAATCACGTCTCTCGCTCGCGTTCATTGCCACTTTGACCATACGTACTCGATCTCTTCCAAGACCGTCATGGCCCCGGCTGATGGCAAGCGGGCCACCCAGTTCCTGGCGGATGCGGTTCCTCTGCTTGAACAACCTCCCCCAGATCCTGCAGCTGCAGTGCCCCCATTACCTGTCCCTAGACCTAAGCCTAATGGGACTATATCATCCAGCGCGCGTCTGACCAAAAGGCCTGCTGCTCCCTCGCCTGCAGGCCCAAGCCATAAGATCATTCGAGGCCCACCACGAAGTTTGGCTCTTCCGGAGGCCACGGGGTTGGGAAACAGTGTGGATTCTGATCTAGTTATACGGGAGGAGCCTCCCTGGGACACTTTCAAAAAGTATTATGAATGTGACTTGGCTGGCACTGTTGCTGTATGTGTGCGATGTTCTGGTCGCCGTGCAGTCTGGGCGATTCGTCAGTATCCCCACAAGGATACTGACAAAATCCTGACTATCCTCCGGTCCACGCGCCATAAGAACGTGGACTCTGTTTGGGAATGCTTCCGCACCTCTGATGCTCTGTATACTCTCGGCAAATTCTATCCACTCACGCTAGATCATGTCGTTGCCTGCAAGGCCTTTCCAGACCAGCCGCAGCTGGCTGCGATTATATCTCAGGTCATTCAAGTTCACGCTGATATATCTGATTGCTAACTGTTTCCAGTTTATTGATGGTTTGTCATACCTTGTCTCCCAGAATCTCCAGCATACGTCCCTGGATTGTTCCAGCATACTCATGAGTCTCGAAGGGGAGATCCGAATCGGTAATTCCACTACTTTAGCCCCATGGGAAAGCAACTCTGACCGGGATTTCTAGCACGGATTGAGTTATGGGCTGTCCGGTCGTCGGAGGCGGACCAAGCAGACGATTTGGCCTCCGTTGCGCGAGTAATGATGCAGCTCATGCAGAAATATGTTAAGGATGACGGAGCAGTTGGGATTGACAACCTCGATCGTTGGCGCAACTGCCCAGCTGCTATTGAATTCCTGTCAGCGACGACATCAGCCGGCTCATTGGGAGTTCTAAAAAAGGTTAGTTGTATCCTCGTTACATTTGAAAGCTGCTCATTTATTTTTAGCAACGTCTCCTGACGGAAGTCCGTTGGTCTCGTAGTGACCTCATTGGGATTGCATGGTTTGCTCTAATATCTGCACGTACATTCTATTCGTACACACCTCAGTCAGATACAGAGAAGTAGTTTACAATTGTGACTATAGGAGCTGCTGTACACTAAAGACCGTTGATGCTTTTTATGTAGAACCATACAGATGCTCTTTCCGAGTTAGTTACAGCACACTAATCGACCCTTCCTTTCAGTTCAATATATATTGCATTCAATATAGATTGGAATAGCATATTACCAACAAAAAGACCCTAGGTAGATCGTTCATCCATTGTGCTACAGTGCTATAAGTAAACAAGGCGAACCGCCCGGGCTAGCAAATGATATCAAATCCATGACGATAATTAAAACTCACAAATAAGACAGATAATGTCATGCAATGTATAAATACAAAGGACTACGAATCAGGCTGAAGAGCAGACCCCCTTGACGCTACCCCAAATCCCAGGTTTCGCTCTTCGAGTAGGTGATAAGAAAAATAGACTAGAACTATATGTTACAGCACGTTAGTGAGGAATATAGCCATATTCTCCATCGCAATATGTTTGGCATCGACATTTGTCCAAGGGTTCTCAGTCCGCTGGCGCGCTATCGCTGCCGCATTCTCGGCTTGGGTATGTGCCATCCTCTGTCTCCCGAAGATGCCAATCTCATCGTTCAGGATGGCCTGACGGAGACCTTCTGTGACCTGTCCAAACATCAGAGATTTGACCACAGGCTCCAACTCATGGAAGGTGCAAATAGTGCCTGGGTGAGTGTTCAAGACTAAAGTGACGAGGGCATTGATTTTATCCTCATTGAACGAATCATTTTTGCTGGAAACGTGAGTAAACTGGCTACTGTATGAGTCAGTAAACTTACATGGGTTTCATTAGCTCACCCCCGACTAACATGATACCAACTCCCAGTGTCCCTGCAAGTATCCACCACAACCTACCGCGATTCACATAACTGGCTGAAATCTGATCACGACGAGATTTCTCTGATTTTGATTTGCGAGGATCATCGTGATATGCTTGCAGGGTGCAGGTAATGACGTGGGAACTGGGACGCTTCTTTTTAAGAGCAGGCCAGTATCTGTCATGGTTCGTACAGAGCTCTTCGTAGTTGAGGTACAGCAAGACCATTGCAATACGCTTTGCAACGGGATCAAGGAAAGCATTTTTTTCATTCCTTGTATACCTTTCCAAACGACGGGAAGTCCAAGGGCGTGCAGGCCGAGCGACATATTGTTGTCCCACCCATCCAAAAGAGACCGTAGCAGCTCGCGAGATGTCTGTGAGAAAAAAGACACTTCTGCTTCAAGAATCACCTGAATATGCGCTTCGGATAATATTCCTCCGCCGCAAGATTGTAGTGAGAGGATTGCCGGCTTGGGCTCTATAGAAGTTTTCCTTGTATTGGGTAACTTCCGCCTTACGGGTCTAACATCTGCGAGTTTCCCCCCAGGTGAGGAGCCAGAACCCATAGTAGAGGGTGTCGAATAGCAGGGAGTTGTCCCATTTATTCCAGGTGTGGAAATGGTCTCTGTGGGTGACGAGATTCCAAAGCCTGGACAGGAGGTGAGAAGAGTTGTATCTGGCGGGGTATAAAGAGCGCTTTCGGGTATTATTCCCACATCCCACAGTTGCTTTACTTCGCCGTTTAGGAAATGACTGTTATCGTGTGTATCATTCATCCATGAATTGACGACGTCGGCTAGAATAGGATCTGCAGAGATTGACGACTTGGGATTGCTAATTGGTAGGCACGGGGCCGACGGAGGGGATAGAATAGGCTGAGCGGCGGCAATAGTACAATTCACTTCGGAAGAAGAAATAGTTAGTATGATAGGAAGTGACAGTAAGAAGGGTGAGATGGATACGCTCTTACCTGGGGACACTGATGGCTCCTGGTCGGCCTCTTTCAATTCAAAACAATCCACAAAGCCAGCCTTTTCAAGTCCGTACCCGACGCTGGCTACCTGGGAAATCTTCAGCTGCCCAAGCTGCTCCAGATCGGACCCAAGATCTCGAACAAGCTACAAGGGTAAGAACAAGCCGCCAACATGATTCTCAGTGGACCTACCTTTCTAGACTGCTTTTCTTCCAGAGGAGGAGGCATCGCTCCGGGGCCTTGCTCCTACGGCACGAGTGTTAGTTGCTGCAGGTCTCTTAAAAGAACGAACCCACCTCGAGGCCGACCGTGATATTTAACATATTTATGCAACTAGTCCGGTATGTGGAGGAAATGATCTCTTGTTCGGTGCTCAGAATGTGGTATCGGATAAATCCACCTTGTTGAGCCCGCATCAAGACATCCGATTTCTGCAAATCAGGAAGTCGTCCGACCTGCTCCAATAATTTACCAAGATGGTTGACCAGCTACACTAAAGTGAGCATCATATAGAGGCCGTTGGGAGACTACTCACATCGGAACATGCATCCTCGGTCCAATTTGGACTACCATTCTGAATGTTCTTTCGGGAGATGAGTTAGTGAGAATGGCTCAAATGGGTTCTTATTTCCCTGAATGCCGATCGTTAAAATGAACATGTTCGTAGGACCAGCCCGCGAGGTCAGTTAACGAGAATGATCAAGGGAGTGGACGTAGCAGCCAGAAGTGGTACGAATTAACTGAACGAAAGGACGCCGTTTGGCAGGTAACGATGGACATGCCATTGAAACTAGATGGATGGAGCATGATGGAAAGTGAAAGAAGCTGGCCTTTTTATGTTCGGGGCAGTTGATCAGACACTCAGGGTGAGCAAAGGGTGAGCAGAACGTGAGCTCCTACGAGCACATCAAAGAGTCACGGTCTAAACGCTGACATCGTGGCTAACAATGAAACTGCCCCACTTATTTAGTGCCCCTCCCCCGACGCCTCTCCACGAACATGTCGCGCGTGCCGCAGACCAACAGGAAAGGAGAAGGAAATAGGACAGAGAAGAGAAGGGAAGATTTGGGTCTCAGCAGGGCTCCAGGGAAGTCTGCAGTCATGAGGGTTCTTATACTGTAACTTTGCAATAATAAAAAGTAATTCCCACTGCGGTGTGGGTCCCCGAAGCAGAGCACGCCTGCGGAACTATATTAACAAAACAATTACAGCGCAGCGACCCCCAAAGTTTACGGGGAAGTACATAAAAAGCTCCAATATGTATTTCGAATAACTAAAATCCCAGGCAATCTCACATCAAAGCCTGCAGTATGTCCAAGCAATCTCCTTGGGTGAAGAAACGTCGCGCTGAGACCGCTCGAGCAAAAACACAACAACGGCAGAGACGGAGAAAGACTCTGTTTAGAAAGGCAGCAGAATTCTGTCTTGAATGTGAGTCCGACGTATTTTTGGCTGTTCGAATTCGAAAAACCGGGCAAATATATCTCCTCGATTCATCCTCGCCAAGCCAGTGGATCGCTACTCTGTCCAACCTGGTACAGTATACTCAATCTACTCCTCTGAGAATAAAAGTTGATATAAGTAGGCAGCATACTACCCTCCTCCTATCCAGGAGGTATTGGGGGATACTATGCCCCAGGTTGAGCCTCTGTCAGAGCCGGGAGATATACCAGCTCTTCCAGAAAAAAGGGAAAGGCATTAATTGGGTTTTTACTACTGAACCCATTCTTATTATCACTGAATAGTTTGTAATACATATAAGTATAGACCATACCTCGGCATGTCGTTTTCCGGCTGCGGTAGAAAATGGTTTCAGTACCTATACGCTGCGGAGACCGCAGCGCTTGGTTTCAGGTGTTTTGAGGGCTGGCTCCAGTGGCTCTCGCTTGTTCGCAGGGCATTTTCACGTTTATTATTGGCTATCATAGTTAGTTTGACATGTTTATGAATCATCCAAGTTCTCACAGGTCTATTCTAAAAGGTTTTCTTTGAATCTTACCATATAAAGAACTTGATTATGGATAATGGTGTGGTAAGACCGTATTACGGACGTCTCCTTGTGCCTTCCCTGTGGTTGGGCATTGCCTAGCCATTACTTAGTCAGCTAGTGATCTTTAGATACAAGGCTGTACCGGCTACCTAATTGGACAAGCATCCATCACTTCCCACAATCGGCGTGGGCCGCGTAGTGGTAAAACACAACCTAGCCGCAGGATGTCGAGCATTATGATCGCCCGGGGTGAGCTAGGCGGTGGAGACTTACATCCAGAATCTGCCCAGATCCACAGCCCCCGTAGTCACTTGCTGTACTGATACCCAAGTAGTATAGCTTATCACGCGTGATACATTGTTCTCTTGGCTAACCAACGCCCAGGGGTCCCGATGTCCCAGGATAGTCCCAATGTATCGCCCGAGTCGCGGGAAATCCAGGGTGTGATACCAGGGATTTCGAATTGTCATGCAGTGGTTGATTCGATGGAAGTGGAGTTCATGATGCACTCGTTCCTCTGACATGTGCTAAATGGTAGAACCAGAAGAAAGGAAAGAAAAAATTTATGGAACCTTGATAGAAGATATTGCATCACTAACGTCGCCTGCTCTTCTTTTGCCATTCATTCAATGGCGACCTTCAGGAGTAGAGGAAAAGATTCGGAAAGATTGACATTAAGATTTAGACAATACAAAGTCGTTTTCGCCTATGCAATTCTTTTCTATAGGGACGCTTCCCACGCGACTCTGTTCGCCTTTTCATCGGTTGTTGATTTAGTTCCGCGTAGTGAAAGTCAATGATCAGGGCCCGTCCCAGCTCAGCGTTCCACAGAATATTGGCCAGCCGGAGGTCCTGGTGCAAGACTCCCAGAGAACGGATCTCCTTCACAGACCTCGTAATCTCACATGTCCTCTTATCACGCTCAATCTCAGGTATAGGCTCACCCCCCCAGGCCATTATGAGCATGTGGCAGATCTCGCCAGCTCCATGTACGAAGTAGAATTTGACCAAATTGATTGCCCCTAGAAAAATAGGAACAGCAGAAGCCTGTGCTTTGTTGAGTATGTGGTATATGACTTTCTCATGTTTAATCTTCTTTTACTGTCAGGAAGTTGTTCCTTTACTGATCATAGTATATTTATACGCCGCACAGGTGACTTTAAATGGGACTCCCGATGCGTCATAACCTCCTAGAGGTGTGCAGTCTCGGTCAATATTTTTATCTAGTTGCTGCTTGAGTTGCTTGATCAGTATTTTGGCATTAATAAGGTGTTGGCTGCTGTTCTCTCCCTATCAGTGGAGCATGATATCTGGGCAATTATCATCTGGCTGACCATCATGTTGCAGGCTCCGTAGACATTTCTGGGTGCAAAACTGTGTGGTATATTACTGACCTTGTTTACTGCTTTAGATATATCAAGATTCTACCAGATGTGTTGATTGTTGAGCAGATGGAGACAAAGGAAATGATGGAATCTGATTGAAATCATGCTTTCTTTTTTTTGGAGCTTGATCTGTGTCAAAATCAGAATTATCACGTAGAGTCAGATTTGGCGATGTGCAGCTAATTTGAGACCGGGTGATTATTTGACAGGCACCGGCAGGGGGTGGAGTAGGAGACGAAGACAGTATATATTCTGATGTAATAGGTTCGGAGCTCATATACTCTGATATTGTATATTCTGAATCAGGCAGGTTTTTTTGCAATTCTGATTCCGGGATCTGGGAATGTGTATGATTGAAATTTGTTTTTTATTCTGGTAAATTCTTTGTGATATTATACTACTCCTGGTCATGATATTATGAGCGGAAACTCATAAGGCATAAGCATAATACTTAAGCAATATCTGTTAGCGGCTGTTGTGGAGAACTCAGTTTATTATTTGGATTAATTTCTATGTTGGGTTCACAGAGATGGTAGTATAAGATATCCGGATTATTATAGGGGATCTGCAGTAAAATGATTATAAATCTATTAGTTAGATATGAGTACTCAAGTCCTTTTTGGAGTATAATATGATACTTCTGAATCAGAGCCGAGCCGGTTAGCCAGGTTATATTTTATTTTAGTTTTTCAGGTCTCTCTGTGGGAATGGAGTCTGGTCTGATTATCTTATTTCAGAATAATATTGGTCATAAACCCGCTCGAAGATTCTCTACGGATAGTTTATAGGGCGGCTTGTACTTAGTTGTTATAATAATTATATTATAATTATCATTGATACAGTGTATATAATATTGATCTGGTCGGGAGCGTCGGGA